GCTAGTAAAGTGTGAGATATTTCCCTTATGTTACTGCAATATATGGATGTTTGCTGAATTTTTCTCCTAAGATAAAAGCTCACATGAAATATGCAAAGAATCGAAGAAGCTCTTCCTCATTGCGAGGCAACGTGGACATAAAGTCCATCTGGAATCAATTTACTATTGGCTGAGAGAAAATAATTTGCCCCATGCACACTTCTACAAAGAGGGATATACAGTACCCTGAGTGTCAGGGCATTAAAGTTAGTTTGCAATTGCTCACTACACCTTTTTCATGTGTAAGCTTTACTGTGAGTCGGTATTGCTGATATGGGTTATATATGAAATCAAGACTGAGCTGGCAATACAGTAATCTAGAACCTAGGGTAGATATCCAAGTACTCTCAAAACAAATTGTTTGAAAAATTAAGTTGATGAGAGACCTGTCCTTTTTTTCTAAAAGTTTGCTTCACCAAAAAAAAAAAGATATATGGTCTATCGGAGTGTGAATTTATGTGTAATAAAGTGAATGCATGTCCATGAAAGCCCCGTAGTCTTACATGACAGCTGCAATTATGTGTTCAAAAAGCATTGGGATGCCATCATTTATTTATTGTCTGACATTTTAGAATTTTGAACTCAGGGAAGTGAAATTGATAATGCCATCAATTAAATCATTTAAATTGAATTAGAATGAATTAGTAAAATGATGAAAACTTATTTTTTTTAAATAAATCGGATTTATTGGGGGAAATAAGATTACAGGATCATTTAGGAGCTCTAAGCACATTTTATACCCATTAAGCATCATGCAATATAGATGTGGTTTTAATGTCTTGGGCTAAGTTTCAGTCTCTTCTGAGCAATTATGGCTGGGGTTCACAGTAGATTTGATCTCTCTCTCTCTCTCTCGTATGATCTCCCTCTTTCTCTCTCTCTCTCTCTCTCTCTCTCTCTCTCAATGTAATGACGACTTATATGAATCTCATCTACTGAGTATTTCAAACTTACTGATATCTTTTCATGAACTTGAATCAATGTTTTAGATTAAAAAATAAATAAATAAAAATAAATAAAGATAATAATAATAATAAATAAGTAAATAAACATGCTGTACACTTAACACTGTATGCTTGAGCAAGCTAAATTATGCCTTTTCTGATTGCAAAATGCTTCCCATCTGGACTGAGTCTAAGTATTGATATTGCCAGGGAAAATGATTGACTAAATGACAATATTTCTCTCTCTATCTGTGAAGATTAAATTGTAAAATATCATTCCCCAAATGGAGTGATAATAATTACTGCTGATAACATTTGGTTTAGAGACCTATCTAGCTGGCAGAAACAGTGTTGTTCAAAGAAATAGAGCTTTATTCCAGGAAATATCAGATATTTTGTTAATAAACTTTCTCTCGATCTTTGCAAGTACCTTTTTGTGTGAAAATTGATTATTTTTTCTCTCAGACTGATTTGAAAAATTGTTTCTGATCTTGCTGTGGAGATATTATCAAGGGGAAAACTATGTTGTTCTAGTCAAAATGCCTCCCACTGGTTTCGGGAAATGTCACAAAAAGAATTGATATTTTCAGTTAGTCCTGACATGCTGACCCAGAAGCCCTAGAGAGCAGAGAAAAATGACATTTCTGTAACGAGAATTGGAAGGTTGATTTATGATCTACTGTGTTTTAGGCCTCGGTGGCATTTGTCTACTGTTGTGTATGATTGAAAAAAACTTCCAAGTTATTATTAGCATTATTGATGCTATTTAGGTGCCAGCTTTCGGCATGGGCGTTAATTATTAGTGGAAGTGAGAAAGTCGTTTTTGCTTGTCTTAATTGTTTATCAGGGAAGTGTGTGGCTCAGATGATGGTCTGAAGGTCACTATTTTTGCCTAGTACAAATGTTAAATGGCTTGAAAATGACAGCAATTTTGGCATTGTCAAAGCAAATATGGCTTCTAGTATTATCAAACCAAATGTGGTTATTTAGTGGCACGTACACTCAACTTCATAGACCAAGCAAAATAAGTGATTTTCTCAGAAATTCCAAAACATTTCCTACACTTCATCAACAAGGTATGCAAAACCCAAAACCCTATTCATATTTCTAATCTTAAGACCCAGTTATCTTTGTTAGTAATTTTCTCAGCAGTTTTGTGTAGGGTATAGTAATGCAAGATTTAGGTAAAGTTGTTGATAAATTTAAACTTCCAGGATTTGGTTTTGCTCAAGTGAGGTCTAACATAAATCGCATTAGTAACCTTTAAAGTGCTGAATCTGCTTCAAATTCCATATTCCATACTTGGTTTGCTATTGTGAAGATGAACAATTGCTTTCTGCTGTCTTACATCAAGTAATTAGCATTAATGGCATCGGCTTTTGACTGGAATATTTGATGGTCGACATGACATTTTCTCCACATTGCCTGGGATTTATTCCCAGGTGAAACTAAGTAATGGTGGGTTCCAGGTATCTAGAAAGGACTGGGTCAATTCTTTTCCACCCCCCCCCCCACCCCACCCCCCCCTTTGATCATCTCCCTTGCAAAGGATATTTTTGTTTCGAAAATATGCATGTAATAGAGTTTGGGGTGTTTTGCATACCTCCATATTTGCCTTTGGAATTACCAATTTTAATCCAAAAACTAATTTTAGATCTGAAACTCCATTAATGCCTTTAAAATTCTCAATTTTTACCAAAAACTAGGTTCAGATCTGCAACAAGAGTTAATTATCCATGTGAATTACATTGCCCATAAAAAAGGCATAGCCAGGCTGCCATTTGATCTCTTAATTGCAGATATTGATCTGCATGGCCTAGATCAGAGATCGTTCCTGAGAATGAGTTAAATAAATGATGACAGACACCCTGCTCATTTACATTGATTGCTGTGAATTTTGTTTCTGTAATGAAATTATGATATGGATCATATTCCCACTGTCAGAAATATAATTGTGGGTTCTGGTGAAGAGAAAATCAACCCCATTTCTTGGGCCACATCCAAGATTAACGATATCCAATTACAATCTGTAATTTGAAATGTCATCTTTGATTCGACTTTTTATGCAGATCATAACAGTCACATTAATTGATCTAAAAGAAAAATAGTGTTTTTTGATGTCCTGCAGGCAAAACATATCTGAAATGATAAAGGTGGCTTTGGGGTGGGGATCCGAGATATGAGTTTTATTCCATCTTGATTTGTACCTGCCGTCTCTTCATTTCCCCATTCAGATTCAGCCCAGGGACTTACCGTAAACATTGGAGATTTCCACTGATGACGTAATGACCCGGGCACATGAATACTAAATGGGACTAATTACATTAGCTATATCTGGTGCCCACTTTTTGGCATGTAACTCACGAAAAATGACTTCATGTCAGCACTGTTTAACCGCCAATTCAGGATCGTAGCTTGTTTTCCCAACTCTGTGAAGTTAAGTGTACTCTTCCCTGATAATCGTTTTATTTTTAATGTTACAATTTCCAAACTTTATGAATATAAAGCAAAATTATGCTGCATATTCTTAACGGAAAGCGTGCTCACAAGATCAGTACGTGCCATGTTGGCATGTCCCATTGTTGTTACCCAATATCATGGACACTGTCACTCGCACACGCACACACACACACACACATATAAGTTATAAATAGGTTAATAGTTATATACAGTATATTGTACATATAGTGTAACTCTCTTTTTGATACTCTCCCCATTTCTAAGGATTGAGGGTGTCAGAATTGGTATAAATCTTGTTTCGAGTGTGGATCGAGGTGGTACTTTTGTGCTTGATTTGCCACTATAAAAACACCTCTTAATGCATCCTTAATTTATGGGAGATTTCAATTTGCAGTATTGCCTGACAGCTAGTATCTGATTTCACATTACTAGCCAGTGTTGGTAATGGCATTTGTCTGATTAATTTGAAGCACTGGCAGATCATAGTATTGATTCTTTTCTTTTTTTTTCACAGTTTGTTGCTTTTTATCTTTCCGTCTCATTAGAATTATCCTATAATCTTCAATTTCTATTATTTTTGTACTTACAAACACTTTGGCTCTCCTGCTAAATCATACCATGCTAGCTGTAGCATTATTCACACACCCATTTAGTGACATGTGTAAAATAAAATTGTCATTTCAAACTGGTTTCTAAAACCCAATTCAGATGGAGCTAAGAAACATGCAGAGGAAGTAACACAAGTGGATATTGCGTGTTTCAGTTGTAATGAATTAATTTCAGAATTACTTTCACTTTGATATAAAATAAAGTCAGGTATAATTTTGAATGTTAAGGATTTGTCTGATTAGTGTTTCAGATCCAAATTAAGCAACACCTTAGGCAGCTTCTTTATTTCTCTGGCTGCTATAGGATCCTAGAGCTGTTACAGTGCTATATTTTTAGCTTCACTCCCCAAGCTGAAGTCTGACTCTGTTTTTAATTTTAATTAAGTTTCTACTGATATTAAGATCAAGATAAAGTACGAGAAAAAAAGACAAGCTTTAGTTCCCTCTCCCACAGACACCATCAGATTGATCCAACTCTGTGGGCCGGGAATCTTGTTAAGTGCAGTCAGCTTAACTGAATAAAATGGACATTCTCTTTTTTTCCAATGTCTGGGTATCATCACCAGCATTTCTGTATTCTACATGTCACTCAATGCCAAGTAGAGGCCTTTCATTCATTTAAGCTGATTGCACTCAGTGAGACCACCCACAGAGTTGGATCAATCTACGTAGACTGATGGTGTCTATGGGAATTGGAAACCTTGTTAGACTTGGAGTTTAGCTGTATAAATAAACTTATATAATAGTTAAGTTTGTAAATGTGCATTTTGTGCTTGGTTTAATTATTATTAATATTATATACATTACAGTGGCATGCACATTTGCAGTTGATTGAATTTCCTCAGTACAATTTGACGTAGGGCTCTTTTGTAGCTTTTGTTTTAACTGTGCTGTTGGAAAATTCTCTCATGATTAAATTTAATTGCATCTTTCATTTTGACAATTTTAGGTAGTTGCCAATGTATTCCTGTACATCTGTGTGAATATTGCCGGGGTCTTCACTCACTACCCCACGGAGGCCGCTCAGCGCCAAGCATTCTTAGAGACTAGACGATGTATCGAGGCACGTTTGAAGACACAACGGGAAAACCAACAGCAGGTAATGACACGAGAAATAGTTTTTTTATTGACATTTTGCAGCACATGTATCAATTTTGTTTTGCTTGAGGTGAACCAGGGATAGCTGAAAGAGTCACAGAACCATGATATTACATTCTGGCCTCACGTGAACAATAACAGATAAAAAGATGAAATTTTTCAGTATATTAATTGAAATGTCTTACTTGATTTGAATGTATTAATGAAAAAAAAATGTTACCTTTTTGAAGTGGTGTATATTGAGATTAATGACCCCTTCTTTGCCACACGCGTTCTGGGAAATTCTTGCCTAGGGATTAATGGGTTCTAAGAAAAAGAATCTTTGTTTTCTGCAAAGGTGACTTTTCTTCATTTGTTGAGCTTCTACTGTACCTGTTTGGTGAAAAAAGTTCTATTCTGGGAAAGATATTGGGTCAATTTCCTGTAAAAAAAAAAAAGGAAAACCAATAATGGGAATTTTAGTGCATCTTCAGGGGTGGATTTAGGCCATCTTCTGAGTCTTCCGGAAGATGGTCAGATTTTCAAGTTTACACTGACGGTATTTAATTTTCTCTGATGGAAGATGATAAAAAAGTGGAGCATGGATCAACAAAGATGATTTGGAAGACTGTCAGAAAATAGCTTTGGATCGGCCCCTGATCTTTTCACCCGCACACCCAAGGAAACTCATAATACACTTGTTTTAAAGCAGATGCACTGGCTCCCTGTTAGAGAATCCCCGTAATCGAGTTCTGATATATATATATATATATATATATATATATATATATATGTACAGTAGGACTGCACATGCTGGTACATTTCTTTGACTATCATGAAATGTACATAAACAGAAGGGATAAAATTGGAAGATAAAGTCGCTCATTTGAAAAAGAGAAACTGGAGTTCTAAAAGAAATGGAAATGAGCTAGATAGAAAGACAATTAAGTAAATTTTGTTTAACTTATTTATCAGAGAGAAATTTATTTTCACACTTCACAAATAAAGATGAAATAATGTATGGACAAAATGACCTGTTCCCAAAACAGATTAACAAAAAAGAAATAAATGAATGTTTCACACAGTCACCATGAAGGAAAGTCACATCACAAAATCCAGTAACTTGAAACAAAATGAATAAAATTCTGATGTATTGTAGTCATGTTACAAAAGGCATAATCCACTTAATTCACAAAGAATCTTTTATGCATGAATGAATGTGGTTCACTGGAAAATTGATAACTTTAGTTAAATTAAGTAAATGATCCGAAGGCTCTTTTTTCTGTATAAGGGGCCATTCAGACTGAGAGGAGCTGAGTGCTAGCTGGTCCACAGCCTGCATCGTCCCTACAGGGGCACAGTAATTAAATCTTGGCTCAATTCGACAGGTTGAGGGACGACGCGTGGGTAGGCGTGTGAGAGGCAGAGAGACCATTACAGGATTAAGTGGTCTTCATTTTATGTAGGTTCGCCATATTTAGGCCATGGACCAGCTAGCACTCGACTCTTCTCATTCTGAATGGTCCCTAAGATTTTGTTACTTATGAGCACATATGTTAGCACATGCATGCATAGGCAGATAGAAAAGAAACATATGCATATGAAATTCCCATACATATAGTAAAACATACAAACATGCACTGAGAGAGAGAGAGAGAGAGAGAGAGAGAGAGAGAATTAAGGTTTACATGGGCCTAGATGATAGAGAGCATTACTTGCATCAGTTGAATTGCAAATTTGATAGCTATTATTCAGTTTTTTTATCTTGAATTAAGCCATTGGGAAGTTATTCAAGCATATGCAAGATAACCTGAGAAGAAGATTGATACATGGCCATTAATTTGTACAAGATAATTTGCAGAGAATTCAGTTTTTTTCCCTTTTTTACTGTCTGTATGAGTGTCTCTTGTCGGTGCTTAAGTCAATGACATGCAACATTACCACTTCATAACCCTTGCAGGTGTTTCACTATATATATATTTTTTTTTAACGAATCTATTTAATTCTTATTTCTTTATCTGGAAAGGTTTACTCCAATTAATGCAGTGCTTCAATTCAGTTCTGATTATTATGCCTATGTCCTCAGCCTTTTGTTAAGTTTTCTTAATTTATATTTGATATCAACTTCTTAGCTTCCACAGAATCATAGAATTCCGAGACTTGTTCAATGGTTTTGTTAGGCCCTTTGGCAGCCAAAAGATTTACGGCAGATCATGATCAAAAGCTCAGATAAAAAAAAACAGACGTGTTAAGGCAATGGCAACATTGTTATTTTCAACATTTTACAGTGTTTGGAAATAGATATTTTGGCAAACGGATAAATATTTTTATTCAGGTTGCAGCCAATTCCTAAGCCTTTGAGTTTTAGAGTTCACCCACTAAGAATCATAACTTTTAGCTTCTGGAAATGACATTTTTTTGAGTGCCTGGGATCTGCATACATGTAGATTAGAAAACTGAGAAATGCATTTTCCACGTTATTGCCAGAATTTTCATTTTTTGAAGCCACAAAAAAAGGGGACAAATTGTTTTGCACTGATGAATTAAGTGCAGTTTATATTTATTTTCTACACTTGCCATTTGAAAGAGAATACTGAACCCTTTGGAAACTTGTAAGCTTTCACAATGAGAAAACTGACCATTGAATCCATATGCTGTAATTTATTGGACTTACTCATTGCTTTAATTGCTCTTCTCTCATTTCATCTAAATGAACCTGCATGCATTTTTTTCAACAAATCAGTTTTGATTGAATAGCAGCCAGATCCAAGTTAAATGACAGCACTGCAGAATATGGGGTTTAAAAACCAGATTTATTCAATCTACTCCAAATCATGTGTTCAGTTTGATAATAAATATCCTGAAAGGTGACTTGATGTGGAATGAACCTTTTTGTGCTTTAGATGTAGCTTACTGTTACAATAGTTAATAAGTAAAGAGATTAACTTTCGGCCACTGTAAATTTGTTCAATTAAGTCTGGGTTAAAAAGGGATTTAGTCACAATCAATACTTATATGAATAGTCCTTGCTTGCCAGCCATTTTTCAGATCTTTTAGTATGCATGAAGTAATATTACCATTTTTCTTAGGAAATGCCACTTGAAAATAACACATTGATATATCCATATCTTGATAGCTCTTTAATTATTGTTAATGGACTAGAAAATTTCTTGTTATAACTAGCTGAACTCTTGCACATTTACTCAGACTAGCAGATGGATTTCATCCAGCTCTTGCAGGCCCGTAGCCAGCAATTTCATAAGGGGGGTTCTTTTTCTGAAATAGTGGACCTTTTTCCATAAAAACTTCATGAACCTACAAGGTACATCAAATTTTACCCAGACTGAACCTTTTCCCACCAAAAGGGGCGGTTCTTTCAAACCCCCCGAACCCCCCTGGCTACGGGCCTGTCTTGAATATCATTTTTCCATGAAATTTTACCATTATGATAATGGATCTAAGATTGTGCTTATATATAGAGAGAAGGTTGCATGCATGTACAAAGTTCTTTTTTAACCTGAATATCAAAGTTAAAGGCCCCATTCAGACTTAATGATCCAAGTACTAACTGATCTGCTGACTAAATATGACCGACCAAACTTCTAAAGAGATGCTGCTGATTCCCGATGGTTTCCCCGACTCCACATACGCCATTAAATGGATTAAATCTTGGTTCTGAGGTTTAATTGCTAGGCCCTCACAGTAATGGTGCGTGTGGAGGTGGAGAAACCATCGGGAATCGGCGGCATCTCTTTTGAAGTGTGGTCGGATATTGATATTGAATGCAATCAAAATGAAAGAATAACACACCTCTTGATTTCAATGCCAAAGTCACCAGCTTTTCAGTTATTTACTCAATGCCAAGAGGCACATTCAGGGGCGGACCCAAAGATATTTTCTGACAGTCTTCCAAGTTATCTTTGTTGATTCATCCTTCATTTTTGACCATCTTCTGGCAGACAAAATTAGATACCCATCAGTATAAACTTGAAAAACTGACCGTCTTCCGGAAGACCCAGAAGACGGCCTAAATCCGCCCCTGACGTTTGTTTATCTGTTTGCATTCAGCAAGGGTCCCCACAGAGTCGGGTCGATCTCTATAGAATGATTATTTTATTGGGAATGAGCTCTATTATATTAATTCGAGTGCTGTTTGAACCAGGTGGAGTGTATCAAAGAAGGCATTGAGTGCAACCGGGATGAAATCTGCATGATGTGTAATTCATTGGTGCGTGGTTACTGATTCAGTATTATAAACATGAAATTTTTAGTTTGTGGTAAGATTACATCAGTAAAATTAATCTCAGGATTTACCTATGTACATGCAGTTGTATAGGGGTTGAAGATTTGTGGTCTCAGACATGTTATTACAGATGATTTATGAAGCCATAGGCCCCATTTAGAATTCGCTAATAGACAATGAAGCTTTCTAGTGGGCTGCCCATATTTGACCCATGGAATAGTTAGTCCCCTATTCTGAATGGGGCCATAATTAAAGTGTTTGCCAGGGATCTGTTTCATGTAGTTTTCAAAATCCAAGTTAAACCAGTCGTTGGTCTAAAAGTGTTATACAAGAGATTATTAAGGGTGGTCAAGTTATTGTGACCATGAGTAAAAATTATTTGTATAATCACAGTAGCTTAATGCTGCATGGGCTTAGTTTTTAAAGATCAAATGGTAGAACAATTAAAGCAAAATGAGGCAGGCAGCCTTTAAGTCAAAACACGGCTTTGCCATGTTAAATTCATTGTCACTGTGGTCTTTGGGACCATTCCCAAACCCTAATGTACTGGCTGGATTGTTGTAACTCCTCAGATAGTCTCCCTAAATTCCATTCAATTTAAGCGCTTAAATGTCTGCCATGCCCCCTCTTAACATAAAGTACTTGGATAAAGCCGGGGAAAATTTTGTGGTCCACAATGTTGTTCATGTTGCTTTTTTGAGGGGGGGGGGGGCTGCCAGACAATTAAGCTGCTTACATTGTCTGCACCTTAGCGAGAATCGCTGCTGAGAAAGATCCTGCTAATACAGTAAGGTCATGGGAACGTAGTCTTTGCTAAGACCAATTTATAAATTCAATATATTTGAAAAGTAAAATTATTTGCTATGTTTAATAATTATGTATTTATGTTGGGCGTTAACGGGAGTCACCCTAACAATTTTATGAAAAGGAGTAAAAGAGCGGAACGTAACAGATTGTGAAATGCGTACCGACATACCATGGGCCCAGGGGCCCAACTGCTCCATGATAAGTTCTGAAAGAGAAATCTGTACACAGCGAGATGTCCGTAATACATCCTCTACATAATTATTAAAGGTGGGAAATTTTAAAAAGTGCCTTCAACTGAAGCCATCAAGTTAAATATTATGGCCCTAGGACTGCGGTACCTTTGTGTTTGTGCTATCCTTATTGAATGTGTCATCCACATGAAATTTTGTCTTCATGCAATGCTATCATTATAGGCAAACATATCATTAAGTTACCCGCATTTGGTGCATGAAGTATTACTGGTAATTGAGAACATAGATCGAGTGGAACTGTTACTACATTATCGGCCATCACAGGTGTATTTTTAGCTTCTGTAGGCATTGTTGGCCATAAACGAGAAAATGTGTCTATCAATATTATATTATAAACAACAGTTGCCAGTATTGTTCTCAAGCTGAGACATTGTCTGGCAAAAGATTTGATACAAATAATGGTAATGATTAGTATCAATTATTCACTTTGGCTTGTACTATATATATTTCTACTTTGGAATCCAGCCAGAATGGAAAACGATTTTAATGCACTGTTTGTCATGTCTTCTGATTGAGGCCGCAATTGTCAATTTTGACTTTCCGTTGTTTCAAGTTTATAGATTATAAACTGAGAAGCCCCTTATTTGGGTATATAATCATTGGTTGATATCACCTCTGGAAGATGTCTTCCTATAACTCATTATTTTAGCAAAAGAGATTCTGAGAAATAGCCCAGTTCAGAAGAAATATTTCACAGATAGACTCACTTTATCTTCCAGTGCTGTAATTAAGATATATCTCAGTCACTTTATCATTTAATCAGAAGAGTACCATCGCAATTATTCACTTCAATTCCTTGTTGCATTTGATACACTGTTTTCCCTTTCTGCAACAATATCTGATGAGTTCACACAGTGGAATTAATTCAATAAATAATGCATTGTAGCAATTATCTCAAATTTCAAGGAAGATCTCACAGTGCTTAACAATTTTGGTTCTGGCGAAGAAAAATGGATTCTTGATTGCCCTTAATTACCTTGGGCTTTGTTTTGGAGTCGTCAAATGAGCAGTAGACAAAATGACAGATTACAGAATGACTAGAGGGTCCCATTCACATTGAGCGACACGCTCTTGGCGCTACAGTAACTAAGAAAATGTACATTCATTGAGAGGTTCCTAATGTGAAATTGCATTTCAGGGGGTTTTACTGACTTTTACAGGTTCTCCACAAGTGACTTCCTGCTGTTTTGTTTAAGAAATTATTTACCCGTATACGTGTCAAGCATGATGGCTCCACTTACGCGACTCTCTTACTGTACATGATGGCCAGACTATTACTTTGCTTTTGAAAATTTACCAAAGTCATAATTCCTATGTCTACATATATTTAGCAAAGCTACTCAATATCTTCTCCAATTAGGACCTAAAAACCTATAAAAAAACTCTTAAATAAAGGCACTGGATACTGTCTAAGGCCCCATTCCCATAGACACCATCGGTTTATATAGATCGGTCCAAGTTTGTGGGACTCGATCTTGCTGAGTGCAATCAGCTTAATCTGAGTACACCGATAGTGTCTATGCATGGGAATGGGGTCATAGTTCCTTCTAAAATGCACAAGAAGATACGGAAGTCTAATTGACCAGTCATTTAGAATTAAATTATTAAATTTAAAATGAAACAAAAGCGTCAATCCATATATAGCCTGAGCAATGAGAAAAAAACCTGCAGACAAGTTCATTGAACCACGTGATAGGATATACTTATATATCAGGAATTAATGATCAGCATTAGTTGAAATAAGGTATACCATGATTATTCATGATTTTTTTTTTTACTACAGAAAGATAGCATTACAGTTGGTATCACACGAGCATATGTAACACTGAAGTTGTCTCTTAAAAAATCTTTCACTAGCATTTTGTTGAAACAATTGTGAAAGATAACATGTTAAAGAGAAAGAAGAGAACAGGTTGTTGTGTTTGATTCACACTTTTTTCAGAAATGCTTACATAAAGAGTGAGTCACTGAATGATATTCAGCAAGCTAGCTATCTTGTTACATGTACCGTGATATCGTGAATAAGTTCTTACATCCTGGTTTAATTCACGAGATGATGTGGCACTCACCACTGCAAAATTTTGTATCACGCCACCTGCATTATGACATGACTCCACCACATATATCAGTGCTGTCCTTAATTCGGGAACAGAGAGGTATAAATTGTTAAATTTCAATTCATCTGTGGTTGGCGTAACTGTGGATTCATTCCAGAGCTGGGTGTGTTTGAGCAAGGACGTATAAGTCAATATACATCCTTGGTTTGAGAATCTCTGTATCTTGGCCAAATATCACCAGACCTCCATTGTAAAATTTCTTTTATTGTACAACTATAATCCCATAGGTTGCGATCTTATGAAGGTTATTATTATTATTATTATAATTATTATTCACTGTCTCTCTCTCTCTTTCTCTCTGTCAATATCAACTTGCCCGTAGTTTCACTTCAGAATCAACTTGCCCGTAGTTTCACTTCAGAATCTGTGTCCTGGCACAAAGCCCTTGGCAATTTTCCTAGCTAATTAAGCCAAAAAGGTCAACAAAAGAACTCCTGACCCTTGCATGCTTGTGCTGGCAGGTTACATCCAGAAGTCCGCTATGCACATTAATAAAATAGAAAATCTTTTAGATGTGTATTTTTATTGTTGGGCAAAAACATTCTCTTGAATCCTCAGAATATTTTTCTTTTATTCTGGCACATGATCTGCTATTGCCTTGCATAGTTTGTACTACAAAGGTGAATTCTGAAAGGTAACGACATAGTACATTATACTGACGAAGAAAAGCAAGACAATAAGGTATTTTAATTCTTTTGTCTTTAAAATTATTATTATATATATATTATATAATAAACATTGTGTGACTTGGTTCATCATGCAGTATCACTTTTTTATTTTCAGGAAAGGTTACTGTTGTCAGTGCTTCCACGCCATGTTGCCATGGAGATGAAGTCGGACATTGCTGGTCAGGTGAAGGATACGATGTTCCATAAAATCTACATACAGCGCCATGAGAATGTTAGGTAATGTCTTTATTGGAACATCCCACATCATTTTGTATAAGACCTTGGATCTGCCCAGTCACAAAACAACTTGCAGAAATTGCTCGAAATTTTAACAAGTACGTCTCATTTTTTTTCTTTATTTTTTCAAGATTTATCATTTTGGAGACACACAAAATATGCTCTCTCACAATTTACTTCAAAACCCTTGAATCAACATACATTTAAATTAACACTGATGATATAAGAATTTCCTTATAACATGATGAATTCATATTGTTTAAATCTGAGTAATTACAGTAAGCCGACTATCAACCTCAGTGCAGACTGCTGAGAATTAAAATAGAGTTGTGTTTCACATAGAATCAAAAAGGTTGTTCATCTTATTTCACTCAAACTGTGACCTGGCTCTTGACAGGGGTTTACACTCTCACTGGCTATAGTTTAGTAAGCCGTTTACACACGTGCACGCACCCATACATATGCACACACACCATGGAGTTGCAATTATTGCAGACCAATCCTTCATGAACTACAGGTCAATATCTCCTGGTAATCTGTATGTAGTCAGCTTTCAAGGCTAAGCAGGCTTAGCATTAAGTTTAACTTAGCAAAAAAAAAAAAAAAAGCAGAAAAGCAGGACAATTTAAGAAGTTGACTCACTTAACAGATTTAATTATTTATAAATTTCACCTGACAACCAGATTAAACATTGGCTAACCATGTTTCCTGGCCTACCTGTGATACAAAGAGTAAAGTTAAGTATAGCTTTTGCCTATCTGATGTGAAGACACCTTTATACCTGTTTCCAGTTGAGATTAACCCACCCAACTTCAGCTGACTCGATCATCTCAGGCTATCAGGTCATCAGGCCATCCTTGAATTCACTGCATGAATCCAAGTCAAACAACCATTGTCTCACCTAATAAGCCTATGTGATGGTAGTCTGGAGAGCAAGATGGATTAATTTGTATAAATTTATGATGTTCTCAATAACATAAAGATATAATACTGTGTATGTCAGTCCTTTTATTTTAGTAGTATTTCACACAACGTAACTTTAAAAAAATCTAATACTAGCTAGTCAAGTTGAACACGCATCTCCCTCTTTGAGATTTGAGGCAGTTTGTTGTGAATACAGGTGATTTCTCTCAATCTTGTTATATAATATAATCTGTACGAAAGATATTTGAGTGCAGATATTATATAAGTGTATTTTAGTATTGATATATACTTGTTTGTCTTCAGCTGGTTATGGGGACATGACAGAAATCATACGAGATCATTTTAGAATAGAATTTACGAGAAATTGAAATATGCCAAGGCATGAACTTTGAAGCTTTATGGTACAGTTTACTTCATTGGTGTGTACGTGATGTTGAAGATATTCACTGTCATTGGATTTGCTGCCTTTTGTGATTTTCTTGTTATTTGGCTAACGGCTTATAATTATATGGGTTGGAGTGAGATAGGATGGAAACACGACTGCAGGTGTAGTAATGACTCAGTCTTTTCAATGGGCAAAAATTATCAAAAAAAGAAAATATCAATCTTCCAGATACATAATTTTGCAATCGTAAAAATGTTATATATATATATCTATAAAGCATTTGTGCTGCTTTTACTATATAGAAAAGAACTTTGAGGGTTCTCGGAACTTTTCAGTTTTTTTTGGTGTAACTCGATAGGATTGTTCTAGTTTTTAAGAATTTACGATTTAAAAATACATTTTTGTAAAATTCACATTTTCCCATATAAAAAGTTTCAGTCACTATGGTAACGGTAACTGCAATTCTTTCACCCCCAGATCAAGTCATGTTGCTGTAGCAAAGTAATTGAATCAGTATGAGTGCAAAGTTGAAGATGTCCCCAAGGCCTCTAAGCTAAGTCTCAATACAGTCATAAATAACTATATGCTCGTGGCATCCATGTGTTCATCTGTTTTTTTTTCTTTTTATGAAAGTTATCTATTTTTTGTTAAAAATACCAGGCTGCTGCATCAAGATCGCAACAACAGGTAGAGAAATTTGTACTTAAAAAAAGGAGGACCTTATCAGACTAATGTAATGTTTTCATTTGAACAGAATTCAATACATTTATTTTCCTCAGTAATATGATTGAGCATATGTATTCACTAAGATGCCCACGGGTCTCTTTTTCGCAGATTAATTACCCGAGCAGGACTGAGAACCGATAATTAGATCAGCTTATGATAAATCATTAACATTGTTCAGTACCAGTGCATTTAAACATGTAGTCTAATGGCTAGTGTTCAATAAGACCCCATTCAGAATAGGGGACTAACTAGTCTGAGGGTCAAATATGGCGACCCACAACAAAGCTAGCCATCTAATCCGCTTATAGACTCTGAATAAATATCCTATGGGGAAGTATTCAAGTGGGTCAGCCATATTTGACCCTCAGACTAGTTAGTCCCCTGTTCTGAATGGGGCCTATGACTAGCTGCAGTATTTCAGACTGGAAGGTATGGTATTGACATTCTTGATTATCCGAATTTGAGATGCTGCTCATTAACAAAGTAGTTTTGTTGCATGCATATTATATTAGCTGTATTTGACCTTAGCTTCTGGCTTTCGTCCAGTTTTAAATATACAATGTCATTTTAAATATTTCTCCCCTCTTCTGCTGAAAATAAAAAATTAAATTTTACTAAAAGTGACTTCCTCAGATCACAGCTGGGGTGTCTTTAGCCTGCTCTGTTACAAAACTGAAGAAAAGACCCCTGTGAGATGATCGGGCAGAGCTAGCATTTTCCTCACCAGGTGTACCCATTGTATTTTAAGATATTCAGGGGCGGATTGAGGCCGTCTTCTGGAAGATGGTCAGAGTTTCAAGTTTACATTGACGGGTATCTTATTTTTTCTCTCAGAAGACGGTCAAAAATACAGGATGGATCAACAAAGATAATTTAGAAGACTGTCAGAAAATAGCTCTGCATGGATCCTCCCCTGATATTTCATCAGTTTTGCGCTTCGTCATTAAAGTGTTCCTGCTTGAGCAACTCAGGGTGACTCCCGCTCTTGCCACCAACATTCGTCATCATCGTTATCATCAACAACAGTTGGGTCATAGCCATGGCATTCCTGCCTAACTGTGTCTCAACTGTCTTTGTTTTTCTTCTATTCTTCCGAACATTTTGTGAGTGGTTATAATATTCACCCGCCCCCCCCTCCCACACGCTCAAAAAAAGAAAAAAAAAGCATAGGAAAAAGAAAAAAATCCATCAAAGCAGTATGATCAAGGGTCTGCGTGGTCAACAGCAAGTGATGACCCATTGGTTCAGAACTGGTTTGTACTGATGCCACCTTCAGGCATAGGAATAAATATTAGTCATCATGTTTGTGGTTTCAGACTGCTCAGAGTCATTGTTTGTCTAATTAATAAAAACCTAATCCATGTGATTTCTGCCCAGGGTTATTATTAATGATGAGTGCATTTGCGGGGAACTAAAAGCCTGTACTTTTCTGTCGGCTGTGCTGGATAAATTCTTTTTTTAGTATATGTAATCTATTTCTTTGCACAGTAATTATATAGTTCCAGACATTGTCAGTCAAAATTATGTTTATATGATATATGTAATATCTAAAATCGGATTTGTACTATCTCGAATAGATGTTCACAATATGTAAATTGATTGTTATATACATGTATTATAATACCTTCTTATTTTTCAGCATTCTCTTTGCGGACATCTGCGGTTTTACGGAGCTCTCGGGCAAGTGCACGCCTCAGGAGTTGGTAGAGCTTCTCAACGAACTATTTGCGCGGTTTGATCGCCTGGCCCAAGAAAACCACTGCCTCCGCATTAAGATTCTCGGTGACTGTTATTACTGTGTCAGCGGACTGCCTGAGTCCCGCCCCGACCACGCTCAGTGTTGTGTGGAGATGGGACTGGACATGATCGATGCTATTAGGTATAAAAAATGGATCAAAAAAAGAAAATTTAGTTTATTTTTTCAGCGTTTTGAGTGATATTTTAAATGTACTGTGCATGCATGCTTGCACATATATGCATGGATATGTGCAGTCACCTTAGAAAGTCAGTAAAAAAGACATTTGTCTGTCATAAGACATTTACATGTAGAAACAAATAATTGTCTTTTTGTAATTGAAAGATGACATAAAATGGAAAGTAAAAAAATTAATTTAGAGATAAATGTAACTAAATTAGATAAGCATGAGCAATTTTAAAGAAATTAACTGCAAAGAAAGATACTCAAAGGGAACATTAAACAAATGCCTCATTTATCAGTTTTTTTATATCCATATTTCTAAGATGCTATCATTTGAATGGCTGGATAACATCTGTTTATCATGATGCCATGCTATCATTCATCACCATATTTTCCCAGATTGGTGCGAGAGATGACTGGTGTGGAACGGCTGAACATGAGGGTCGGAATCCACACTGGACGCGTCCACTGTGGGGTTCTGGGATTGAAGAAATGGCAGTATGACGTCTGGTCTAATGACGTAACATTGGCCAATGCAATGGAGAGTGGGGGAATCCCTGGGTAAGTACCAATAAAATTTTGATAAGTAAATAAAACAGTTGATCTCTCTGAAATTACAATGTTGTTCATAAACAGTCCTGAAAATGGCTTTATAAAGTTTTATAAAGAGCATTATGAATTATCTTAATTGAGTTGCCAAAAAATCTTCATGAAAAATAATTATTAATTCACAGGAAGTGTTAAGCATGGGATTTTCCAAAAATGGCTTGGATGTAAATCCAAGGGGGGGGGGGGGGGCATTTAGATAACTGTCTTTTGTATAAAAAAAAACTATTATGTTGTCAGTCTCTCAAAACAGCACAATACAGTATATCGCAAACCGTAAAAAGGTCCTTATTAAAACAGTGTAGAACGTAGAACCAGTTTTGATCCAGATTAGACTTTTTCAAACAAAATAAATAGCAATAATATTGTAATCTACACTTAGCTTCATGGGAATTGAATCAGAACTCCTCAGAAAAAGATCAGTTTGGAATGTTTCAGTATCATATTTATGGAACATGTCAGTGCTTTGCTTATAATTCATCTGACTTCATCAAATCATTTTTCCTGGCAAGCTGATGAAGCTTCCTTTGCATAAGGGATTGATGTTATATTTAGCATAATCCAGCATTAGACCCGAGTCTTTTACATCATTGTATTGACTTTTTAACCTTTTTCATCTGGTTGGTCGTAATGTAATCTGAGATTTCTCGTTAACTTGATGGAGTTTGGAAATCCTCCACACAATAGGGGTGTCATTTGTGGAGCATCAGATTGATGATTGTATGGGTCTGTATACAATGACTACAGTCAGTGTGGAGATACATAAACCTATGTGGCTCTCAAATAATACTGGGCCAAGGGACATTTGTGTTTTGTTTTTAATTTCAGCTTTGTTTGAATTTTTTTATTGGCATTCCTTTGGTAACAAAGAAATTAATAAAAAATAGACTGGTTGGATGTATGAACCAGTGGGCTATAACAAATATGATTTTTATACTGCTATAATATTCTAAATGATTTTGTCACTTTTAAGATATTTTCTCCCTCATAATACTTTGCATTTCAATGGAAATGTTTAAAGAATGAATTAATTCTATGTGTATGTGAGTTTGGTTGAGAACTAGGATTGGAAAAACTTGTAATGGAAGCTAACTCTTATTCAGGGTTGGAAGGAGTGCTGATGAGGGGAGGGGGCTTTTCTGGGATGAATCCATTTTATTTGAGGGTATTCAAATATACACTTTGTATTCTTCATTTCTGCTATTTATTATATGCTGTGAAAACAATTTATGAACTGAAGTCCATACCCTAGTCCAAATTTTTATAAAGCTATTCCTAAGATTTAAAGCTATTGAGGAAATCCTTGGATATTTTTAAAATCACCCAGCTTTACATATATACTACGTGAGAAATCACATAAAGTGCAGTAATGTAACTTGGTTGATATCATTTTTTCATCAGACGTGTGCATGTGACGGAAGTGACACTGCTGTACCTTAATGACGACTACGAGGTGGAGTCGGGGCAAGGGGATGAAAGAAATGCGTATATTAAGGAACAGAAAATTAACACATACTTAGTGATAGAACCCATGGACAGGAATTTCCAGGTAAAAGGAAACTGCTTTCTATTTTTAACTGTAAGTCATTGTCAGTGTCTATATAGTTTATTTGAGGTGAATTGTTTGGTGATCTTGGATTGTAGAGTGCAGTAAGGTCGTTTGTTCAGCTTCTAGTTGGCTGATACTGAAGACTTATAATTCCTAATGCGACCCAAACACATACATAGTATTTTTGCCATTGTGAGAAGAAATTACTTCTATCTACATGTTGTTACTAG